TAAAAAGATTATAATGAATATCCCAATGTGTTGATTTGGTATCCTTTGGACAGATTTCAGAAAAATAGGTTTTTCTGTGAGACCAGAATAAGTGGTATTCGTCACGTTAAACACTTTCATCTCTGATCGGTGTCGAAGTGGTCGACACTATACTTAATAGCTTTGTATGGTTGGGTTAAATCCATGTTCAGGCCAGTGATGGCACCGATACGTCGGCTGATTGTATGGAAAAGTTTGTGTTGTCTATCCAAAAGCCAAGTACCATGAGCCAGTCGGATGTTAACCATATTCAAATCAATTTGATGAGTTCTCGCGGTCCATAACTTTTCTAATGATGGTTGAGCTGAAGAGATGATGGTTTGTGTCTCGTATTCCGACAGCAATTCATGGATTACAACGATTTGCGGACTTTTGTATATCTCTTCCACTTGAATGCGAGTCAACCGTAAAAACGGTGTTTTCGTTGTGTTTAAGTGAAAACACTTGAGTTTAGAGGAAATCGAGTCATTCATAAGTCTTTCTCCGCGACATAATTCATATGAATTTTCATATTTCTGTCCAAAGGATACCAAATCAACACATTGGCATATTCATTATAATCTTTTATACTACGTGCTATAGCCATAAAGCTTTAAAATGTTAAACATACTGTATTATTTTCAACATGAAATCATATATTTGTATGACTAAACAAGCAACATTTTAAAGCTTTATGACTATAGCACGTAGTAAAAAGATTATAATGAATATCCCAATGTGTTGATTTGGTATCCTTTGGACAGATTTCAGAAAAATAGGTTTTTCTGTGAGACCAGAATAAGTGGTATTCGTCACGTTAAACACTTTCATCTCTGATATCAACGCATTTGTCTCGATGTCTGGCTTTATAGCGGCCGACATTCTCCTATATTTTTGGACTTCACTTGGTTTTCCAATTTTCTGTTCACAAAACGAGAGGTAATTAAAAATGTCTGCAATTGTCTTATCGCTGGTCATGTCATCCATCTATCGACCGCTTCTGTCAACCATTTCTTAGCATTCATGTACTCCTTGTTATCAAACGTTTGTTTTCCAATCAAATAGCAATCGAAAGCATTTAAAGCAATATTAGATTGATTTTCAATTGAAGTCACTTTAGCACCGGAACTGGTCTTAGATCTAATGAATCCATTCGCTAATGACTTGATATCCAAATCATAGGTATTGACGAGACTTATCACTCCAAACGCGGCGTCTGTCCACAAGTTATCAATCATTTTCATTAACATCTCTATTATTAACTAAAACTTATTTGAATACCTTTTAGCTCCTTATTAGTGATAATCTCATGACTACTGGACACTACCTGCGAGTCAAACGTCACATTTAATGCATTTGTATGGTTAGAGTGACCACCGATTTGTCCCATTTGGACATCACTTAAGCGCCGGTATTTTGTTTGCAACAAATCCTTCACTTCTTTCCAGTCAATAGCCATTCGTCTGATGAGGAGATATACGTCGAGCGGATGTCCTAAAAGTGAGCCCTCGGTGTCCTCTTTCAGTGCAATTGAGTTCAAAGTCAATGAGTTGTCTGTCAGTCGTCTTAAGCGAGAATTGAGGGCCTCTTCGGACACCAAATACTCGCTCAACGACTCAATCATTGCTTTCTCTTGTTTTAAGTGATCTTCTAGTTTTGCGAAATCACTTAAAACTTTTCACTCGTCCATTGAATCTCAATGTATAATACAATACGAAACATATAATTAAGAAACTCTTCATTTTGATCACAAAATATGTTTAACTATGTTTTCCAATTAAAACTTTTCACCAAAACCAACAGTATTTTAGATTTATTTTTAGATGAATGCAAGAATATAATTGTCTGAATACACAGAATGTTATCGTTAGTTATACAGTAATGTTTAGCCAGGATAGCCAATTCATGCACTACAGTATTATACACGTCCATTGACTTTTAGTTGAAATAAAAATTTTAATTTAGGTCTAATTGATTAAAAAATTAGTTTAATAAAAAAATATTAGCTTAAAATTTAATAGTAATAATATTATATATTATATTTTCAATGATGCTTTTATTTTGAAAACAAACACTGGCCAACTTATATAGGCCCTACACAAATAAATTTAAAAACAAATAAATATTTTATCATAAATTTATATTAGTATATTAAACTAAGCCTGGTGATCGTAACTAACTAGTAAGCATTTTTACAGATTTAAAATACCTAATATAGGAAGTTAGTTGTTTTTATAAATGTGATAGGTATATTCAATATAAATACCTCAGTTTAGCTTTGAAAACTTAGTAATGTAAAGCAAAAGCTTTAAATTAGCATCTTACTCATATATTTTGTATGCGTAAGATGCTA